GAAACCAATCGATGTGTCTCTCTCGCATCTATGTTTCTCTCTCTCCCTCCCTCCCTCCCTCCCTCTCTCCCACTCTATCTGAAGATAAATGGAAAAATATCCTCGGGCGAGGATTAAAACAATGTTTACACACACACACAAAGGAGGCACAGCCCACTGACCTACTTTGGGGTTACAGTTCCCAAAAGAACGAGACAGACAAAAGAGTTCTCCCCAGGTCTCAAAATAAAATCTCTCTCCTTTCAAGGTCCATTTATTTTAGGAAGTAGGATAAAAATTGTGTGAGAGAAACAAAAATGAATAAGCTCATGTGTGGGAACAGGAATTAAAATAAGCAGCAACTTGCCGCTTGCCGACGTGGATGTCCTCACATCCTGCTGCCTTATTTTTGGTTCTATTCTGGTTAGTTTTCTTCCCTAGCACTTCATTTATTTATTTATTTTTTCTTAACCCTCACCCAAGGATATGTATTTTAGAGGAAGGGGGAGAGAGGGAGGGAGAGAAACATCGATGTAAGAGAGAAACATTTATCTGTTTCCTCTTATACCTGCCCTGACCGGGAATCGAACCTGTAACCCAGGTATGTGCCCTGCCAGGAATCTAATCAACTGAGCCACCCAGGCAAGGCTCTTTCCTGGTGCTTTAAAGTATGGCAGGTAGGTCAGAAATCCCAGTTCGTCCTACGTACTGCCACTTGACTCACATCACCTCACTGAATCCCCACCTCAACTTTGGCCAGTGAGTGGTATCAATATCCCTATTGCACAGGTAAGAACACGTAGTTTAAACAGGTAAAAGGACCATCAGCAAGTGGCTGAGCCAAGATCTGAACTGAGGGGTGGAGCACAGAGCTTGGATTGATCCACTCTGTCTGTGGAGTCAGGACCCGCACCCCACCCTCGGTCCCTCTCTCAGGCGGAGTCGATCTGATCCTCAAATCACTAAGGGACCCAGGAACTTAGGACATACCTGTTTCCCTGGTCATGGCGCTGACTCTAGAAACTGGACGTGGGAAAGAGAAGTGAGAGTATGTGTTCTTAATGAGGTCCCTTCCCTGCTGGCCGGCCTGCAGCAAAGCCCACGGTGAGCAAGAAGAGATGGAGGGTGCCGACAGAAAGCAGCAGCCTGAGCTGTCATCCCCAGCCCAGTCCCGGACCCCCAGTCTTCCCAGGGTGCACAGAGGCAGAAGAATGCAGCCTGCGCGTGGACAAAACGTCAGACCCAACCTGGGACAAATCGCCCCTTCCACCACGCTGGGGCACTGGGGCCTTGGACAGGACAGCTAACCTCTCTGTACCTCAGTTTCTCTATCTCAAAATGGGGAAAAGAATTCCTAAGGGGCTCAAGTTCATGTTTGTCAGGGGCTTGTCAGAGTGCCCAGAGCATAGTACAACCAGAACAAATACTAGCTGTTATTAGTAATACACTATCAAATGCACCAAGATAATTAATATACACAAAATAGTAAGTAAATACCATAGTATAGAATATGCAACCATACAGTAACAAAAAGAAACCAAATGTGGTGTCGGTTATGCTGTGGGAAAGATAAGGGCGGGGGTCATGGCCTTCACTGGTTTATCCTTTCAAATGCCCGCTGTGCCAGCCCTCTGTTCCGGGCGGGGCTCCAGAGATGTGCGCAGGAGGACCAGGAGAGACTGCGCTTTCCTGCATCTCACCCCAAACCTCAGCCAGTAAGGCAACACCCTTTCATTTCCCAGGAGGAGGGCAGCACTTTGTGAAATGCCCCATTTAATGAGATTATTCCTTCAACTTTATATGCCATACCTCCTGGGAATGTTCATTTTGTCTCTGGCAGCTTGCCGGTACAATAATTATTTTGCAATGTAATAACCCATGTATTAAATCAGACACGGGAACCGCCTTGAAATATTATACTGAATTCCCTTCTATAACAGGCAGACCAGTTTTAAATCTCACCCAAGGGGCTTAGTTACCAAAGAACAAAAAGTGTGTCATTAAAAGTGTTTTCTCCTACAAGAGGAGAAAGGTTAGCTGTTGTTATTTTTGTTGTTATTACTATTATTATTATTTCAGGACCCAAAAGGTCATTGGTCTGTGTTTTCAGTTTCACTGGTACCCATGCTTTCTAATATACTATATAATATTCTTACTTATTAGGTTCCTATTTTCCTGTTCTTCCCCCACTGCTACGTAAAAGGGTAGGGTTTTATTCACTGTTGTTTTCTAATAATTTGGAGAAGTGCCTGGTACATAGTAGATGCTCAATAAACGTTGTTCAATTAATGAACAAGTTGAAGCACCGTTTAGAGTATTTTTGGAAGAGCAACCACAATGGGTGCAAAGTGTATCTCATTTTCTTCTCCCTTTTCTGTTTTTTTCACCAGATCGGAACACATCTCCAAAAATCAGGATTGAAGCATCCACAAGCAGGCATGGGTTCTAAAACACCCAAGTTCTGCCACAGTAAGACGCCCTAGGGCACGTTCCACTCACAAGGAGGAGACTGGCCTCCACACCCTTCCCCAGGTGAGACCTGATGGCTGCACGGAAGGGACATCTCCACCCCAGGCATGAGGGGTCTCCTCAACCATCTAGGACCACAGGAGACGGGAGAAAGAATGGATCCCCACATAAAATTCAGATTCATGAAGTATGAGGATGGGAAAGTAACTTAGTCCAAACCTTCCATTTTTCAGATGGGAAAACTGAGGGTCCAGAAAAGGAAAGTGGTTGTTCAAGTGCACAGAGTAACTACAGCACAGCCAGGAAGAGAAGGCACACTCCTTTGTTTCCTTCAGTGCTGTTCCTTTCCTCCCTCCTTCTCTCTTCCTCTTCCTCCCTCCTTACCTTACCCTTCCTTCCTCCTTCCTTCTCTCCGGTCCTTCCTTCCTTGTCTCTGTTTAAGGTTGTATACGTGTGTTTGTGGACTCTTCAAACACGATGGTTTAGAGCAAGCCCTGGTTAGAAGCCCATATATTATTTTGACTTGGAAATGTTGGTGATTTAATTTCACTAACTTTCTAGTCCTCCCCAACAACCTGGATATCCCAAATGGTCCCAAATTTCCCATTAATAATACAAGCATCTTAGAGACTTTCTGCACTAAAAGAACCTAAGAGCTCACTTAGCCCAACCTCCATTTTACAGATGAAAAACAACAGGCCAAGTGACAAAAAGTGAGTCGTGGGGTCACAAAGCAGTTAACAGCCAAGCTGAGGTGCCCCAGACCCTTGGATACAGAGCACAGTTGGGTCACAGTGAACACAGCCCTCAGATCTGTGTGCCGCTCAAGGGTCTCATCATGCTGGCTAGGAAACCCCGTCTGAGCAAGCCTGTCTCAAACCCAGCATGAGAAAACTCATAGAAAATAGGCCTTGGAGGACACACAGCCACACATGTATTATTATATATACTGCATAAAGCTGCTTATTTTTAAAATACATGATATCGTGTAATAAATTCGCAGTGCTAGCAAGAACATCATAACACATTGCTAGTAGAAGCATCTCTTAACACAACACTTTTGAAACGTTATCCATCAACATCAGTATGAACTACAATACACATATTCAAGTCCTTTTCCAGGAACTGGAAGTATCTATAGAAACAGAACTGTACAAATGCGTGGACAAGTGTGTTTATTAGACCAGTGTTTATAGTAGAGAAAGGAAACACTGGGGTGGTCCATCCTTAGGGTTATGGATGAATAAACAGGGTACAACAATGTATGGAATTCTGTGCTGAAGGGATGTTGTCATTTATTAGCAAGAAAACCCAATGTGATTGGCACAGTTATCTTGTACAAAGACCACCACCTCTTAAACACTGTCATCTGTGAACATTCATGCTTTCTGTGGTGGAATGAACACAACGGAACGTTGTGGAGGTCCATCTACACTGAGCATCCCAGAGAGCAGGCAGGGAGGGATGCAGTGGGAAGAGATGATTACTATTTTCTTTATGTACACATCTTAGAATGTTTATACTGACTATAGTGTATATATTATTTTGAAAAAAATCAGATTAAGACAAAAAATTCTGAGAATAAAGACAGATGGGACCCACAAATAGTCCTCCAAGTCCTGTTTCAGCCTCTCTTCTTCCCATGTAAGACCCCTGGCAGCAGACACATTCTGAGAAAATTATTCAGTGCAGCAGAGAGCCTCAAAGCCCTGCCAATGTCATCCCCTGAAATTGTTACTGTTCCCACCAAACTGGCCTAGTCCTCATGCAGGAAGTGAGATGCAGAGCAGAGACAGGAAGTGAGATGCAGAGCAGAGACAGGAAGTGAGATGCAGAGCAGAGACAGGAAGTGAGATGCACAGCAGAGACAGGAAGTGAGATGCACAGCAGAGACAGGAAGTGAGATGCAGGGACAAGAAGTGAGATGCACAGCAGAGACAGGAAGTGAGATACAGAGATAGGAAGTGAGATGCACAACAGAGACAGGAAGTGAGAGGTGAGCACAGCACCAGCAAAAGCTTTTCATTTAACACAGGAAGGGAGCTCAGTCTTCTTCAAGGTGAGGAGTGACTCAAGAGATGTTTTACCTTATCCTGTCCCAAAAAAGAACTCATCACTATAAATAAATCATGCAGGACCCACTCTTCATAAAACTGAGAAGCCTCTAGAAGCTAAATTTAGCAGGCAGGCCTCCTGAGGCACCTGAACCAGTGACTTGGAAATTTGGCCTTGTCCCCCTGGGCCTATTCATCCAGTAGTGACTCTGAGTTAAATAAAAAGTGACAGACCCATGAATGTAGAGGTCCTGGCTGTGTCAGTGATGACTACTAGGCTTCCACAATGATAAAAATACATTACCTGAAGCACTAAATCTGCACATCCTTGTGGTCTAGTGCTCCAAAGAGAACTGTCACCATCAACTTCAAAAACTCCGAGTTGTTCACATTAATACACAGAACTCTGAAACAGCTCAGCCCTCTGAACCACCTTAGATTCCATATTTTATCTGTGGCTCAGGAACCAGTAAGAAGAAAGAAGAGAGACTGACTTACCAAGCCAACTTCTGTTTAAGTATACAGACACAAATACTGGGGGGACTGTGAAGAAATCCACTACAGAGTTCACTTCCAGCCAGAACCACAGCTTATCGTTGGCCGCAATGAACTGGGGGAAAGGAAAAGAGAAAAAATGAGAACATGGTGCCAGCATTCAAAATATACTCTTGCCAAAGGTTATGTTTTGGTTTTTTTTGTGGGGGTCTGGAGTGAGATAGTATGTTCTTCTCATATCTACCCCAATTACACGCTATTTTTGTCTTAGAAATCAGATAACCTTTTCTAAAGAATGACTCTGTGCTGTGTTAGCCTTGGAGAAAGCTCAGGCAGTATATTTTTCTGTGGTTTCCAACTGCATCAGAGGGAAGGTTGAACGATCTCACCTTCATTAGACTCTCTAATGTAAATAAAGTGTATATGGATGCATTCATACACACACACGCACACACACCCTCTGTAATCTACTTTTGTACAGCTCCTGTCATACACAGAGTGTAGTATATAATGCCCCCAAGACACAAATACTGCTACCCTACCCACTGATTCCACTGTTCTCTTAGGATTCACCTAACTGAGCACTGGTAAACATACATTTAAAGGTAGAAAGCATTTTTTTTGTCCTATTTAAGAAAACAATGCCCTCCTCTTTAAACAGAGGGAAGAGAAGCAGTTGGCCAGTGGAGGTAAATAGTTATTTCAATCCCCACTTCTTCCCCTGTGAACACAATTAACATGTACTTCAGAAAATGCTGCTCTAAGGCAAGGGCTCTCTCACAGACTGAAAATCAGAAACAGTCTGTTGTGTCCCCTGGGAACACTGGGCTTTGTCTGCCGTGAGAGCAGAAGCTGGTAGAGGATGCTCCCTGTCTACCAGACTGGCATGCCCCATCGTGATACTGAGCAGTGCTGCTCAAACTTACCCGCAAGCCAAAGTAGAGAAGGAAGAACACGTTGAAAGCCATGTCGATCTGTAATGTGAAATCTTTGTAGAAATTCTGGCAGGATTCTATTGGGCTATTAGACAGGAAGAAGAAAAAGCAAGGGGTAAATGAAAAGCATCATCAAGTCTCCCACATGCTGTGCAGTGGTGGAGCTCGGGGTAGAGGACACAGTGAACGTTCATAAGATAAAACATTTGGTCTTTCTACCCCCTGTGATAATCAAGCAAGCATTGCCAAGGGGTCTTTCCATTCAACCATTCAGTCTTTTGTTCTTTTATTTATTTTTGTAATTACATATATATAAATATATATTATTTTTATCATCATTCAACAGTTGAGCTAAAAATCTAAAGAAGATCATGCAGACACCTTGGAGGAAGGACAAGCAAGAGACACTACCAAATTCCTTAATTTCACATTAACCCTTAAAGGACTGACTTCTTTCTTTTAGAGGACACGTCCATGAGCTAAAAACAGTCCCTTCCACTCTCCAGCACGTTGGAAGTGGAGCCTGTTTCCAATTAAACACAGTGGCTGTGTTTTGAACCTTTTTAAAGCCATCAGTTGATGAATAGTAAAGGACCCAGGAGCATCTCAGGAAAGCCGTGGAGGAGAGGATCCTGGTTGGTGTACGGCTAGACTAAGTATGGACTTTGTGCGCAACATCCTGACCCGGGGAAAGAAGCACTGCCGACTGATAAAATTCAAGACCATTAAACAAAATGTTGAAGCAGTACTCTAAGGGTTAATTTTATTTTTATTTTTGGCATGCAGGTTAATTGGCTTTGTGTGTGTCAAGCAGCCAATGCGAACCCCCAGCACTCTGTTCAAGAGTAGGCAGACCAAAGGGTACTACTATACAAACTGGTACACGGCTTCCATGTGCTTTCCCGTGGCAAACTGATCAGAGAATCAGTGTGTTAAAAGTCCCAAGACTGGGGCTGTGTGGGAAGCAGGAAAGCCTCATAAGCATCTCAAAGCTGTGAATGAAAATTCATAATATACTGTTATCAGTAAGCAAATGGTAATACTCAGGCCAGGAACATAAAAGACGGTGAGGTTGAGGAAAGGGGGGGAAGTATGGGGAGAAGTGAAATACTTCACCCAGATGGAAAGCAACGTGGACCTCCAGGCCAGGAGAGGGCGAGCTTGAAAAGTGCAGGATGCACGATTTCCGAGGACTGCCACTTTGGAAATCGCTGTACGCAATACCAGTTAGTATAGTTGTACTTCTGCAAGGACAATGCTTAGTTGTTCAACAGGCAGGAATCTGTGCGGTATGGGAGTGCAGGGCCCACCTAGAGCCTTGGTGGGCCAGTCTGTGGGACTCTCTGATCATATTACATGCACAGGAGTTATCCATTCTTCATCTCTATTGTGAGTCAAACATGCCCTTTGTCCTCTCCCAGATCACAAATACAAGGAAAAACCTCCAAGAGCATTAAGAGCAATCTATATCTGCATTGGCAGACTACGCAGACTAAACAAAAAACAAACACTAAAAAATGGTTCTTTTATAAAGGAAATGACAACTGCTAGGTTTTCACTAAGGTAGGGAATTTTGAGGAAAGACGATGAATTTGTATAGTCCAATGCTGAAAGGAGAAGGGGAAAAGCTAAACATCACAGCCTACCATTGCTCTTTGCCTGTCCTCCCATACAAGTATTAATTTAAATGAAAAAGGGAAATCCAGACCTGGAGTTAATAAGTGACACTTCTGCAATTCCCAAGCCATGATGGCACTTTGTTTTGTTTCAAGAACAAGACCTACAAAGTTCACAGGTGCCAGGGTTCTTAGCTACTCTAGCTGCAGTGAAAGCAAGTACATGAAGTAGGTTGACCAGAAATCCACTACAGATCCCAAAGGCTGAAGGAACCATACATCTCTGTGCTATGTGAGTCACTGGTATGATGTGCTACTAAAAAGTAAAGGGGTGTGTGTGTGTGTGTGTGTGTGTGTGTGTGTGTGTAAGACAGTGAGCAAGGAGTGAGGACTGAGAGTTCTATTGGTAAGTATTACTCACATCTTCATGTATACCAGCAATAACTTAGCTGTGTTCATCAAGACTGATGTGTATTTAGTCAAGGGGACAGAGAGAAAAATCATGGTTCCTAAGTCTATTATGGAAAACTCACTATCATCTCGCCAAGGCCAAATGATAACATTACTGTTGCCCTCACAATAGTTATTGGTGGAGTTACTGATGGTATATTTGGAGTTCCCTAGCTCTTATTAATTGCATGGCCTCTTTGGTTAATTTGGTAGTTACCTTGAAATACATCTTGTGGGGAAAGTATTTGCTGGGCTTCAGAACAGGACAGAACTATGTGGGGGGAGAGGTGAGCTCAATGCCACTGAGGATGTCTTGGTTCGACATCAATGGAAGCAGATGTAACACCTTCTTTCCACTGTTCCATGGCCTCCTTGACATCTCTCCTGCTCCCACCTATAGCGCCCATTCCTGAAGGCAACAGTGAGAGGGCTTGATGCTAAAGGACACTATGTTGAAAAATATAACTCTACAGCACCCCTGTTTATAGAGAACAATGTTGAAACCATAATAGACCTTTTTGCTATCAAATTTAGATCTTACTTAATCCTTGTTTCATATCATTCCTCGAGTCCTAGACTTGGAGCTGAAATAATAAAGGGAGCATTTCCTCTGTTGGAGCTCACCAATAATGTGAGCACACTGCTGAGATGGAAGGGGAGAGAAGCAGGAAATTCAGGGACAAAAGAGGAGCAGCCCCTCAGGCCCAGGTAGGACCAGAGTAATCAGGGAGTCTGTTTTCCACCCCTTTTAGCTCTTGAACTTGCCAGAAAGCCCAAGGAGAAAAGCCCTGCTGAATTTTCTCAAGTGGCCACAGAACTGTTGATCAGGATCCCCCCTGAGATCAATCCTCCAAGGGCCTTTGGTCCATGGACTACACGTCAGAGACCACGGAGCAGAGGTTCCAGAGCCCCATCCTCTCATTCCCCAAATGGAAACGACCCATGGAGAAGCTCGCCAGTCTTACAAAAACACTTAATTCAACAAACAAAAGGGGTGGCCATATCAGCCAGGATGTCTTTTCCTCCCAAAGAGAGTTTATCTTAATGATTCGTGCTCACTGTGGGATGGGAGAGTGAAATACAACTCCTCTTCCTTCCTGTGTGAAGTAGAGGGTTCCTTGTCTAGATACACAGAAATTTAAAGAGCTAGAAAAAGAATCTTTTTTTTTTTTAATCTATACAGGAGAGAGACCCTGAATTACACACTTGAATTTAAATCGTCATCCTGATGAGCGTGCCCACAGTAGCACAGGCTTTTTATGGACATATGTTGCCAATAAAAACAGTTGAGTTTTAAGAACTGAAATAAGGACACTAGTTCTAATTCTGGTAGTAGAAAATGGACTTTTCCTAAATTGTTCTTGGTTAATTAATGACTTAGTAATTAGAGGGCACAGATATTCTGCAAGCTGATGAACTCTTCATTCTGAGGCTCCCGAGTCCATGGATCAAGACTGGTACTAAAACCTCAGGCGAATTTAGTGTTCTGACCAGGACTCCATGGTTGGGGCACCTTCAAAAGAACCTCAAAAAAGATCTGCTTCTTATGGGATGAATGTTCAGTGTGAGAGACTGAAATCAACCTCCTATTTCCTCTTAACCATCAAGTAAGTATATCTTAGTGTTTAGCTCTCTCTATAGAGGAAAATAAGATACATGCAAGTGGGAAATAGATCTCTTTCTTCATCAATTTAACAACATAATAAGCAAGGAAGACCCATGAGTGGGAAAATCCAGTAGTCTCTCCTGAGGAAGGAGTTAAGAACGCATCTTTCCAAAGCACAAGGCCAGCCACAGCTCCCATGCCTTCTTGCAAAGGGCAAAGGACTAAAGACAAAAACCTCACTTCTAGATGTTCCTCTGGACATCTGCATCATCTCCAGGAGGGAAGTAATTTTCTTCTTGCCTCAGCCTCTAAACTTTCCTGGGGTTTTCTGGAGTCTGTTTTCCCTCCCTGAATCTGGCTGTCCAACCCTGTGAAGATACTTCTTCAGGACAGCGGTTCTCAAACTTGAGCATGCACCCGAAGGGCTGTTAGAACCGTGGTGGGCCCCCCCTCCCAGGGTTTCTGGTTTAGTGGGTCTGGACAGGGTTCCAAGAACTTGCAGTTCTAACGATTTCCCAGCTGCTCACCCGGGGCCACACTTTTCGAACACTGCTCCAGACCTTTCTTGCAACTATACACTAATTACAGATGTTGACATCTCCATTCAGACATGAACAGAGACGGCGTTGGAGACCACCCCCAGGTAACCAGCTGCATACCACTTAATTAATTGCTGAGACCAAGGGGTTGAACAGATATTTTCAGTTTCAGATGTGAACATGGGGGAGAAATTAAGACGATACAGGGAAATAATTACAACACCACTATGCAAGCTTCACCGATGACATTCCAATGAACAATCAAAATGTGCTGGGCAGCACATTTGTAGTGAGATACTTAAAGGAAAAATGGTGATGGGGGAGGTTATGAAGACCATCATTTGTAAGAGATAAAGAAATGCTAAGCAGCTTAGGCACAACAATAGCAAACATCCGAGATGATTTAATAAATAACCTCGTGGGATGGAAGGGACTAGCTATGGAATAAAAAACACTTTCAGAAATAATTTCCAATATTTAAATTCTTCCCACTCTTGTGATGAGTCCCTTTTTAAATTGGATGGGGCCTTTTCAATTCCCATCAGGGTAATTGTCCACCAGAGTTCAGGCTGACAGACACACAGACATAAATTGATACAAAAAGCTTAACGATTCCAGACTCTTCTAGTCTCACTTCTGCAGTGTTGCCAGATTAATTTAATTAAAAGATGTCATTCACCCATCATCATGGCTTCCTTCTGCATCATACATCTACTCCAAGGCTGCGAAGAAGCCCTAAAACCCAGCCCTTCTCTCAGCCTCTCCCATTTTATATTCTGCTCCACTCCAGCCAAGCCCCTTGCTGCTATGAGCTGGTGTCTTCATTATTTCAATTATGTGACCCCCATGTTCCTAAATCTGAAGCTCTGCTCTT